TTCTATGTTCAAATGTGGGTAAACCTGCGTTATTTCACCCAAATTTAACGATCAGCCATGCATAAATCTGTTGTCAACTCGGTTTATTGATACGGCAGGCACCCAGTCAAAACGAATTCGTTTAACAAAATTATGGAAATGCAAGCATTACTATTCCTTGCTATGACGCTTCACCAGGGCTGACCACCTGTTTACAATAGACCATATAATACCAACATAGGAGTTGCTATGTCAGACGTGCTGTAATCACTATGAATATGACGGACAAAGACAGAGGACAAAATAAACAGTTCCTCATTCTACCCTCAACAATTGCTGTGGTAGACAAAAGAACATCCCTTCACTGCTATTATCATGCACAAATGTGTAGAACAGGTGAATATACATGTGACACCTGTTCTACACATTTTTTACATAATAGCAGGGAAGGTATGTTCCTATATCTACCTGAGGAACTGTAGATTTTGTCCTCTTTCTTTGTCCGTCATGTTCATAGTGAATATTACCAGGAAAAAAAAGGTAATGTGGAGGTATTGCATGTGAGAATGCAATTCTTTTGTGAGCATGTGCTGAGCTGAGGTAAATTACATACCACCGACTCAATAGCTCACTAATGATTTACAGATGAAGTCACAAGATGAATGAGATCTGTAACATTTTTTTTAGGGTGGAGCCTCAAGCCGGGCTCCCACTTATGCGGTGGTCACATCCCACCGTACTTTCAAGTGCGTGCTGTCTACGTGCAAAAACGTGGGCAAAATTTGGGTATCCGTACGTGATGAGAACCGCCTCCGTACGGATTTGGGAGCACGCAGACACACCGTAGCACTTTTAGTGCACGGGGAACTTTCGCTGCGTTCGGGCTGCGTTCGGGCTACCGATTCACCCCAGTGCGTGTGACGCGCGTTGCCGGTACTCCCTCCCTGCCTTTGCCACTCCCTCCCTACGTTTTCAGAAAAAACGTGGCGGCCGTGGCCTCCCCAAAAACCGTACGGACTAAAAACACGCACGGTGGGATGTGACCAACGCTTAAGCCGAGTTGGAGCTTCGAGTTGTGGTGAGCTGGCGCGAGCTTGAACGCGCGTAAACTCGCGTGAACTCGCTTGAAATGTACTAATTTGTATGGTATTTGCATGAATTATTATACGACGCATTATCGAGTGGGGGGGGGGGGGGGAGGGGGCACCAAGAAAACAGGGCACCTTCAGAGGGAACTCTCAAAGCGAAAATATACAATGTTTTAGACATTGGTATATACCCTTACATTGTGATTACATTATCAGGGATGATGATAATACTGATAATAATAATAATAATAATAATAATAATAATATATAATAATAATAATAACAATAATAATAATAATAATAATAATTATTATTTTCACTTTAAACACAGTACAAGATAATGTTTAAGCATCATACTTTGCAGTTGAGTGTGATGGTCCTCAAATTAGTTTAGTGATGAGAGGAAAAGAGGACACTTATCAAAAAGAAAAGGAGCTCATTCAAAGTACAGAGAGTAATTATCAGAGGTGAAAATGGGGCACTTCTTACACCTTCTAAAAGAGGCACTCACCAGGGATGAAAAAAGGCACTTATGATAATAGGAAATGGGCATGTGTCGACGAAAAAGGGCCCCCATTTGATTTTGATAGGGGCATTTATAAGAGGTGAAAAGGGGCATTTATATAAAGGGGATAAGTCCCTTATTAGAAAGGGAAAAGGGAAAATGTGAAATATAAGGTGCGCGTATCCAAGTTAAAAAGGGGGTAGTTATTAACTAAGAAGAGCAGTCCAAAATGTAACTTGAAACTGAAAGAACAGATTATTAAACAAGTATCCTCATTTAACTACCTCGGCAGCATGATCACCGAGGATGCCAGATGTGAGACAGAGATCAAGAAAAGGATAGCTCTCGCTAAATCTGCATTTTCAAAGCTAGGCAAAATTCTGACAAATCGAACAATAAGTATGAGGACCAGAATAAGAGTATTGAATTGTGAAACGTGGACTTTAGCCTCTGATACTAAAAAGCGTTAGGAAAGTTGCAAAATTTGGTTTTTAAGAAGAATGATGAAAATCCCCTGGACTGACAAAGTAAGTAATGAGGAAGTTCTCACACGAGCTGGAGTGCAAAGGAAAATGATACGTGATATGTTGATTTGGCAGTTGAAGTTCATGGGTCACATTACACGTAAAGAAGGCCTAGAGAATCTTGCTTTGACAGGAAAATTGTGGGAAGAAGGAGCAGGGGAAGAAGGAGGATACTTTGGATGGACAGTCTGCAGAAACCGAGGAACCGAGGGTTGTGGAACAGCATGATCGCCAAAGTCAATCGGTATGGCACTTAGAGAGAGAGAGTTATTAACAGGTGAAGGGGCACTTCTTACAAAGGAAAAGGACACTTGTCAAAATAAATGAGGCACATCTCAGATTTGAATAAGGCAAATTATCTGACGTGAAGGAGGCAATTATCAAAAGTAAAAAAAGAGCAAATATTGCAAAGGAAAATGGGAACTTGTTGAAAGAAAAGGTGCACTTGTCAAAATAAAAGGGCACTTTAATATAAGAGGTGAAAATAATGAAAATAATATTTAATTTTTATATAGCGCTTATCATTATTGAAGGGGTAGGAGTACTTCTACAAATTAATAGGGGCACAAGTCAAAGATAAAGAGGCACTTTTCCTATGTAGAAAGGGGCACATTTCGAGTACTTAAAAAAGTGGGGGCAATGTGCCCCCGGCACCCCTTCCTGCTCTCCTGTCCCCCGAAGAGGGCTGCCTCTGATTATGGCGCTCTCCAAAATAAAGATGGATGTCAGAAGCATATTTGCTCGATATGTTGGAGGAAGAATAGGCCTTGATCCTCTGCACAATTGTAGGCCAGCTGACGTAATGGTGCACTTGTCATGCTCGTTATGATCGCCTTGCACTCTGCTCATGCTCATACGAAACTCGCCGTAAGTCCCCGTACTCGATCTAAACTCGCGTTAATATCGTAGGCATGACACGCAGCACGATCGTCGTGCTCGAACTCCACTCTTGGATACTCGAATAGCACTCGCGTAGTATACCTGAAGGTGGCGAGTTGCTATGAGTTATGAAGAGTGCAGTGCAACCTTGTTACGAATAATGCGAGTATATTGCGAGTGTAAGCAAGTTCACCTCGGGTTTCAACGAGACAGTGACAATTTTGAACATGTTCAAAATTCTGAAACTGCTCGCGACTTCGAGGAGAGCCGTAAAATGTTGTAAAAGGTTACGACGAGCCATACTAAGTCGCGCGAGTTATCCCAAGTTACAAGAAGAGCTATTCGCGAGTATTGCTAGTGCCTCTTTGAGGCAACTCATCACAACTCGTCATAACTCGCTAATACACCTCGGCTTATTTAAACAAGTTAAATAATTTTTTTGTTTAATATCTAGAATTCGATAAAATATTTTTAGATGTTTGAATAACAAAATATGAGTTGTATGCATCCCTGCACATCAACAGAAATCAAATTAAATTTGATTTCATCAAAATTTAAAGGGCCACTCTAACCCTACTAACATAGCCATTCAAAACATGAATACACCTCTACTTATTAAATATTCCAGCCTTTGATTTTTCAGAAAATCTCGAAATTGACCCCAAAATTACATTATCCATCCATTTAGGGTCACGTGGCTTGATGACGCATCTAAGGATCTTACAATATCATCGCAATTCATTATTAGGAATGGCGAAATTGCCAGAAACGTACTGAGATTATAAAGTGCATTGTAGATGACGTTGACTTGCTCAGAAATTTGTCGCCCTCTATTTTTGGTTCGATGGAGCAAGCTGAGTTTGTTTGTTACCGAATGTTTTGATTTGTCAAAAATCGTATTCTGAGGGATATTCAGTTCACAAAAGGCACAGAGGTCAGTATATTTATATATATGATGTTTGCTTGCAATTAAGTGCTGTTATGTAAAGGATTATGAAGATTAATTTGGATATAAAGCCAAGTCTGGCTGTATGTAGCGATACGTTCATGTACACGTGTAATGTGCGACTGTGTAGGAATTTACGTAGAACGGTAAATTCATTTATGAAATATTGGATAAAGTGAAGAGTAATGACTGATATATATATGACTTATGACTGTATGAGACAGGTTTCATTTATCATAGTTATGAAAGTACTTGGATTAGGGTAATTTAGGACAAAGATAAATGAAGTTTACAAGGAAGGGTCTGGAAGGATCTACACTTTCTACTTACATAGAAAGGCATATGTGGGGCAATGAAAAGTCATTATTCTTTCGTTATTGGAGTTGATTCAATTTAGTTAGGCTGTCAAGTTACAAGGAGCCATAGAAGCCTTATAAATTGTATGACATAATGATTATAACGATTGGCAAGGGTTTATAGCCAAGATTATTTGCGTAGATGATTCTGTGATCGATCGAAACTGTAATCGATATAAATACTCATTTCCTTATTTGGTAACGTATTGAAGCATTGCAGTTGTGGTGAGATTCATTTGCATATTTACTTATTATGCTTGCAATTTTTGTCTTTGTCATACAGTTTTCACGGAGTTACATGGATGGATACGGAGACGTAAAATAAAGATTGACAACTCCCGTAAAAGCTTGTGTCTGACTGAATTTATTGGGTTTTCGTGATCGACAACAGTTACATGCATATTATTTTCGGATAAATGTTTTTTTTTTCTTCAATTAATATCATAGTTTGCCTTTATAAAGACATTTTAATGCCTAAATCACCCTCCTTTTCACCGGAGAGGCTCCTGCAGTGACGTCATATGCTATTGCGCAACACAGCTCCGAAACTGGGCTTTTTTTCCTAAGCGTTCTGAGTCGTCATGTTTAAAATCATTGTTACGTTCGGAATCTCCGTCAAAAATTATTCTTTTCATTTTTTATCCCGTTTTTGGTAAGAGTGGCCAATTGAGCTGATCCTAAAATTATGGATAAACATAACAATTATTTCGGGAGAGTGCTTACCTGCCGTGGCTGTATAGCCTCGTACCGATAGTTAGACTATTCAGATAGACACAGGTCGTCATGACAACGAAGCACACTGTGATGAAGTACAGTCTCGGTTGTGAAATACAATCCACCATCGTGGCAATTCTGGAGCATTCGTGTTTTTGGTAGATGCTGAAAAGGCGGATATGAAGATAACACAAATAATGTAATGTGTAATATTCAGAGATGTTAATATTGAAGGTAAGTGTTTTTACTGACCAAAATTCGCTATGACAACACCATAATACAAACATCAAAGAAGGTATATGCATGGCTTAAATGCTCAATGATAAAGTGCATGGGATAATAATATCGCAGATGTATCGTTCTCTTTAGACAAATGCTTATCTATTCTCGTTTACTGTTCCTGTGTTTGTTATATTTTTTTTTGTACGTGGAACCCAGATGACTGGCTATTCTTAACTGCCTGTTTGACATTAAACGTGTTTTTGGTGACATTGCCAGAAACGTTGGCATGACAATGAATAATTGTTTTCAGAATATAACATATTTTAAAATCAAATACATAGAAGCACAATGTAAGCGTAAATATATATATACATCAAGCTACATGTTAGATTGCAAATAACACAGGGGTTATCCAGGGTCATGGTCACGCTTGAGAATAGCTGTAGCCATGGCAACAACTTAATATTCTGAGAATGATTTATATTATAATGAAGCAACATATAGACGTAGTATAAATGTCATAGTGTATCAACTTTTAGAAAAAGACAGACTATTTCTACATCTAAAATTATGCAACGATCATTGCTAATATTGCTTTCCCTAAAAATTACCATGGATGGGACATAAAGCTAGATAAAACTAGGATTGACAAAAATGATATTGTCTTGAAAACAGTCAGAAAGCATTAGAAAAGGAATGAATCAGACATAGTGCGATCATGTTAAAAATTATTCTTATTTCATGTTCATCCCCCATTACCAAATAACCGAGCAAAATTCGAGCCAGATGAAAGTAAGCGTGTACGTAACGACAGTAATTTATGACATACTATCTTTGTCATGAAACTTTCTTTTGTCATTTTTAATGTGTAATACGGTTATTTCAAATGTATTTTTAACAATCTTTTTAACGTGCAAATATTTAAAAATGCGATTGATATAGGCCTATATGTATTTATCACTTTATCATGTCAACATGTAAACATGATCAATCGAGCTACTGCTCCTTTCATGTAAAACGACGATGAAGATGCTTGTATTTTGAAATTGCATAATAAGCCAATAATTATTGAATTGAATTAATGGTAATGGTTTTATTAAAAGTTCATTTGCAGCCAGATGGCTGAATTGCAGAACTTTGTACATTGTAAAAACATAAATATTTATACAAACATAAAACGTATTAAGACATATCACGTAGTGAATTAATTTTCTAAATAAATCAGTGTACACATATATACACTGTTGGTCATAATGGTGGAATATTTATTTTTACCCCAGTTTAGGGAAGGATTTTAAAAAATTATTTTTTTCTAATAGATCTAGATAATGGCATACATTCTCAGATTTTATTGAATATTAATTTGCGAGCGTTTGTTTTGCGTGACTGCTTAATCATATATGGGCTACTATGCTAATCAGCTAAGGGACCTACGTCCTTAAGTCATAATTGACAGTAATGAGGATTAATGCCTCACAAAAGGGCACTAATATATAGCTGATCGACACGATTTTTATCCTGGGGCCTCACAGTAACGAGGCCATTGCTTAGCCCCTGAATCATGACTGTACGCAGTGTTTGCTAGGGTACGCGGCCCCTTCCACAAATCCCCCAAAACGAAGAAAATGCAATAAATTGTCAAAAATTCATTGCATTTTCCCCCGGCCCCCAACAGGAAAAATTCCTCTGTGTGGCCATTCCTTGAACCATAATGCATGGCCCTTCTTTGGGTGTGTTCACCTAGTTAGTATATTTGTTTGTTTTACATTATTATTATAAAAATTAGATATTGGTCGAACAATAAAAAAAAACATAGAATATGAGAACATAAGAACATAAACATGAAAAACATGATATACAAAAAACATATAAGAGCATAAAACAGTATGGTATGAGATGGTAGGATAATTTAAGAAAAGATATCCCTGGTTTTATCATGAAATCAAAATGATCACCCATTTAAAATCACAGCGGATATGGACTCCTAAAAATTTGACAGACGTGGATTGCTTTATGCTAAGTTCACACCGACGCCGAATTGATGGCGCATTAAATCGGCGAGCAAAACGGCGGCAAAGCGTAACAAAGCTTAATTAAAGCGTAAAGACCGTAATAGAGCGTGAGAAAGCTTTGAGCAATTTGGGACATTCGGCAAGAGCGCCAATTTTTTTTAAACTGTTTAAAAATTTGAGGCGATCTGTCACGAATTGCGTAAAGCGGGGAGAGCGTATTAAAGCTTATCAAAGTTTTGCTCAAAGCGTAGGAAAGCTTAACAGAGTTTAAATTTTTATCGCTCTTGCCGAATGTCCCGAATTGCTCAAAGCTTTCTCACGCTCTATTAGGTCTTTACGCTTTAATTAAACTTTGTTACGCTTTGCCGCCGCTTTGCTCGCCGATTTAATGCGCCATCAATTCGGCGTCGGAGTGAACTTAGCATAACATATCTCGGGAGATCGTGAGATTTTTTGAAAAAATGACGCCGAAATGATCGCCGATTTAAAGCGCGACATTCGGCGTCGGTGTGAACTAGGCATAAGAGAGGTTGTTGACTCAATTTCCAGTGACAGTGGTGTTGGGGGCTTTTTCATAAAACACACCTGCATACCTTTACATTTAGCAGGGTTAAGGGACATTCCATTTGACGTGGACCATTCGGTAAAATGTTGAAGTGTAACGTTGCTTCCAACAGAATTGACTGATCAATTGAATTAAATGAATAGGCCAATTTCGTAATGTAATCAAATTTAATGCATAAATCTTTGTGAAGTGCCTCAATACAAATTATTTCATTCACCTGATAAGAATAATATTATTTCAATAGACATCATCCGAACTGCATACATTAGTTGTTGTCAGGTTGGACAAACATTATGGCACGACCTACCTAGCAATACTTAATTTATGCAGTTTGCATTCTGACTATTGAAGTACTATTATTCTTATCAGGTGAATGAAATAATGTGTATTGAGGCATTTTACAAAGACTTATGTATAAAATTTGGTTACATTACGAAAATGGCTTATTGCCATGTGACGCTACATAAAATTAACATGATATGTTCATCCTCTCTACAATGCTATTTCAGTGACAATAAACTACCTCTTTTAATGTTGGGCTTCCTTTAAAAGGTTTCTATTGTTGTAAAACATGATTGATTTGCACCATAGACTTAAGAGCGCGTACTCGATCTTGTCATTGAAAAGAAGTCAGACAAAATATTTGAACCAGTGGGATCTATATTGTGCGGGCCAAACATTTTTTTACAATAGAAACTTCTCAAAGGAAACCTACATTTAAAATAGGTCGTTTATTGTCACTGAAATAGAATTGTAGGAAGGATGAACATATCAGAATTATACTACATCGCCATTTAAGGCAGAGAACGTTCACTCCGACCCCTCTCCGCTTAATCATGCGAACAGTGGACTCAATTGTAAAACGAATTATCATGATTCCCGAAAAAAGTAAATTGCTACTCTATGTCATGGTTGTAAGAGCAGCAATGGCGAACAACTGTTGCTAAAATTCAGCAACAACTATTACTAAGATTAATTTTCCCCCAAATTACCATGGAATATAAAGCTTAATAAAACAATAATCGACAAAAATACAATTGACTTGTAAACAGTAAAAAAAAAAAAAAAGCACACACTAGTGATAGAATAAAAAGAAATAATGCGATCATGTAAACACATAAGTTCCTGCGATTCCTCCAATAACCAAGCAAACCTCGAGCCAGATGCAAATAAGGGTGTATGTAACTTCAATTTTTTTAAATACTTGTAAGACCTACTGTCTGGAATAAAATATATGACGTGCAAAGTCGATGAAGTACCTTGGGGGGGGGGGCGGTAAACTGGTACATGTATTTCCCCAATCATATTGCGAGAGAGAGGGAGAGGTCATGGTCCGGGGTTCAAATTCAGTTTTCTTTCAATTTATCAAACCTGATACTGATGAATTTATCTGCAATGTGATATCCATGTAACGCTACATGACATAGTATCACAGTCTTGTAATTGAAAACAAGTCAGAACAAATATTGAAACCAGTGCAGGTGACAAAAGGGAACATGCATTTCCCCCAATTGTATTGCGAGAGAGTGAGAGAGAGAGAGAACAAAAAGTCGAGATACTAGAGTCTTGTTCAGACGGGGTTTTCCTAGTCGGCATAAGTCAATCTCTGCAGCAGTAAATACCTCATGTATATTTCACACACACCATTAGTTGTCCACATGATCTTACTCGGACCTACTTGCCACGATTAAGTTAACACGACCTTCAACCGACCAGCGTAACTTACGTAGAGCCATCTATACACAGAGGGGGGGGGGGGGGGGGGGGGGGGGGGGGGGGGGGGGGGGGGGGGGGGGGGGGGGGGGGGGGGGGGGGGGGGGGGG